GATAAAACTGTGAAAAACATTAGAAGATATTGCGATATCGACGACGCGCTTGATACATGCGTTGATGAGGAAGTTTTGACAGCGACCACGCTGGAAAGCGCCGATTACACCTTGGTTGTCGGAGTGTATCAACACCATGGTGTTCCTCCAACCTATACCGAAGAGGGTCAACACAGCCATTTCGACCGCGATGGCTTCCAGCCAGCCTATGTTACGACCGTGCGCCTTCCAACCCTCTACGAGGGTCCATGCATTCCAGCTATTGCCCAGGACCAGCCCGATGCCCCAGTCGGTCGAGGCATCTACCCACAAGTCGATATCTTGGGGCGGTCCCCATGGTTCAAGGTTGCACGGAGTGGTCTTCACACTCAAGATGTTGCGCCACCACTTAAGATCTGAAATAACAGACAGGGGAGGACGTAAATGCGCGTGCTTCAAGGGAAACTCGCAAATGAAGGTTGAAAGGTTAGACAAGTATGCACGACCGTGAGGGATGACGAAAGCCACGTGGGACAGAGTGCCGTTTATACTCATGGCATCCTTGCCCGAGATGCGAGCACGACCTTCTAGTAAGACAAGCAACTCGACTATCTTCCGAAGGTACTTCTGCCGCTTCTCAGTAGGCAGGTCCACGGTGTGGTCGATGAGGTCCCATAAGAATCCGAGGTAAGTGAAAACCTCAGAGAAGTCGTGCCACTTCGTAGGGTGCCATGGGACGCCCAGTAGCCTGGAATGGGAATAAATGTCCTCGAGACCGTGGGCGTAGTGAAATGGGGTAGTAGAGCCGTCGGGTAACAACTCGCCTCTGCCGAGTGTGAAGCGAAAGATGGTGTGGTCGTCCACCCACTTCTTGAATAAGCCTAAGTCCAGATTGTGAAGGATGTCGACTGTGGCATCAGCAACATGGCCTTGAACCCCCCCGGCCATTGTCAAGCCGAACGGAAAAACGTGATCTATAAAAAAGCGACCGTCTACAGAGACAACGAGGAATTGCTTGTGTGGGGGCCACACAGGCACGGTTCTATATGCAGCCTCAATATCCAACGTTGCAGCTTGTGTCCCAAGTGGTGCTGTGGCCACCTGCATGTGAACGATAAGCTTCGACGCTCTCGACGAGCACTTCAAGCAAAAAGACTGGCCTGCACCCTCATGCAGCCTAGCGCCCTCATGCGCACACCCTCGTGTGTAGACTAACCCCTTAAGGGATGCGCCGACGCGCAAGCGCCCTAGCGCGTAACACCCACCCTAGTGGGTGATAAAAGACACACCCTCGTGTGTATGTGGGAGTGCGAGGGAAAGGGGGGAGGTGTATGCGATCGAGAAATGAAAAAATCACAATATCTGCCACTTGGGCTGCGGTTCCCATTCGGTTGGGAAGTCGTCAGAGTCCAAGCTGTCGTTCACCGCATACCCGTCTGCATTATGATATGATAGGTCCTGAACGATCCTGAACTTCCCAGGTTCGCCAGACTTCTCAACCAAGCCCAGCGGGGAAGATACAAAGTGCCCTCCAAGAATGCGATGGACCTCGTCCATTGAAAAAGGGCCAGACATGCACCCGAGGTTGACTTCGTCAGTGCAGTAAGCGTGTAGGATTTCGGGGTGCTCCAATGCAGATTTGTGATTATCAGGTGTATAGGTGCGCGTGAGAGGTGCCATGTCGCCAATGGGAAAACCATGCTCCAAATTAAAAACAAGATTAGGGTACCGATCCATGAGATTAAACCTCTCCAAGAAGGAACCATATACGCTGGCGTTGTACGGAGTGATGATGCGACCATGTATGTCCTCAACAGGACTTCGAAGCGGCGGAGTGGGACTTGCTACCGCACAGGGAGCAGATGTGCAGGATGTCTGAGTTGTGTCTTGGGGAAGGACATCCGCTGAGGTTGAAGGAGATACAAACGGCTGCCATAGTGGATTTGAGGACGACCTTCCTGTCGAGCCACATGCAGATTGGTGAGTCGCCCTTGACAGTGTGTGTGTGCGTGCAATTACTGGACTTGTGTCCTTTCTGACCGCAGACGATGCAAAGGAGTTGGTCGGTAGGTCGCTCTCCTTTGCCCCTGCGAAAGGACTTCCCGTCTGTGTTAGCACTCAAAGACGCGGTAGATTCTGGCTTTCTCGGAGGGTACGGTGCGAAGCGGTTGTTGCCACCATCCTGGTGGTGGTGTAGAGAGGAACGAGCGAGCTTCATGTCGATCCGGATCTCATTCCAGCGAACCGCATATGCGACCGAGTCTGGGAAAGTCTGCGTGTTGAAGAACTTCCTGCGTATTTCGATGTCGAAGTTCAAAATGGCGTCGTACTGATCGTTGAAGTCGTCCCGTTTGACGCAAAAGTTCCGGTGTTGAGTGAAAATGGCAACGACGTCGTCATCGGCCACCTTGGCTAGTAGCTTCAGGAAGTTAGTGGAGGCTTCGTAAAAGCTTCCCACTGGGAGGCTCGTCTCAATGGGGAATCTGGACGATGTGTCCATAATGCAAAGCTTCAGATCGTCCAATACTAAACCCTTCTTCATCTTCACGCAGGAGGGATTGGCGTGGATCCTGCGAAGCGCGGCTGTGGTGAGCAGGGTAAGTGGCACGTGGATTTTGGCCTTCGCCAAATTTATCAGAGGACGGGGAATCTCGAATGCGGAAGATGTAGTGGTTGTACGTATGGTATTTGCTAAGGTAAAAACGGGGACGTCAGGGGTGGTACCCGTAGAAGACGAAGGTTCTGCGACGGTAGGTACGACGGACGAAGCTCCAGAAAGGGAGAGAAGAATCTTCTTGGAAATCGGTGTGAGACCATTAAGTATGTCAGCAGCCCTGAGTAATCTATCGTTCCTGTAAGGTGTAGTAGTAGGGGAACATTCTCTACGTGGACATCAGGAAAATGTGGTAAGGCTATATAGCCACCCATAGCACTATAGACTGCTATACAGACTCCATAGCCCTATAGCTCATATAGCCAAGTGCCCAATTGTGCAGGCTTACTACACCAGTGTATAGTGCTATATAGCTCTATTAAAGTTGCTATAGCTGGGTGGAACATACCACAACTATTGTAGCTATTGTAGCTCTTATAGCTCAAAACACAAAGCAAAAATTTCTCTTAATAGCTGTTTGTTGCCATGATAGTGTTCTCAAAATTAAAAAAAAGCGAAAATTCCAAATTATATTTCAACTACTACAATACATGTAAACTAATAACTACAAAACAGGCAAAAATGCGAAAATTACAGGAGGAAGAGGCAAGAGAACTAGAAGGAAGAATCAGAGAGGAAAGAACTTACCAAATAGTGAAAATTGCGAAAATTCTTGAGGGAAGAGGAGGGAAGGGAGCTAGAAGGAGAGGATTAGACAGGAGGAAGTGAGAGTCAGAGAAAAGACTTGCCAAATGGTCAAAAATGCGAAAATAGTTGGGGGGAGGAGGAGCAGGAGGGAAGAGAGCTAGAAGGAGAGGGTTAGAAAAAAGATTAGTCAAATAGTCAAAAATGCGAAAATTATGGAGGGAGACTTACCAGAGTTCAAAGCACCAGCACCAGTACCAGCACCAACAACATCAACACCAAGAGAAGGATAGAGAAGCAAGAAGAAGAGAAGAGAGGCAAAAACTCGAAAATTGTAAGAGAAATATGGAAGATAATCTAATGAGGGGGCAGTGGGGGGGAAGGAAGAAAGAATGGGAAAAGACTTGTTGGTTGACCGCATTTTTGCTTACATAAGCAGTGCCAAACAAAGCCACAACACAAGACTTGGTGAATTTTCGAGTTTTTGCTTATTAGGACTAGGATTATGACAGTAAGAAAAAGACAATGAAATTGACTGTTAGCATTAGGATTTTGAATACACATAAGGTGAATTTTCGCATTTTTGCTTACATAAATAAGGTGTACCTTAACACTTTTGAACCCTTCAATTCCAAGTATTTTCCTTATAACTCACTAAGATCTTGACCTATTGAAGTCATTAGACTATGGATAGACTTCCCTTGACAAGGACTACAACTTTGATTTAATCGAAAAAGGTTCCCACGGTCAAGTTGCTTTCTTGAACCCTTTGATTTCGAGTATTTTCCTTGTAACTCACTAGGATCTTAACCTATTGAAGTCATTAGACTATGGATAGACTTCCCTTGACAAGGACTACAACTTTGGTTTTCATCGAAAAAAGTTCCCACAGTCTACTGGGGTCTATAGTTGTTGAAATATTTTACTTCTAAATACACTTACCAAACTTTATGGTAATATAGACTTTCATGATGTCTATACTGGTCTATAGCGCTGTGATAGCTTGCAATAGACTGTATAGAGCTGTGGTGTGCTATCGGGGCTATATAGAGGATGGTCCTCTATATAGAGATACAGTTTTTCCTGATGGAGTGGAAGGAGGAGAAGCGTCTTCATCAAGAAGTTCCTCGTCATCGATAACGCACTTGATCCAGTCGGGATCTGCCCGACGTCTGGCATGCAACGTGTTTCTTTCCTTGCGGAGAAGATTTTCCGCGACGTGCGCCTCGTGTCCGACGAACCTCAAGCTGTTACGGGCCATGACGCTAGCGAAACTATCCATCTCACCATCCGACAAGCATCTGTCACTATCGCGGTTAAATGCGCTCATGTCCTTTCCTGCAGCTCCCGCTAGGGCAGGATTCGTTGTTTCGGTCATCGTAAGGTATAAGAATAAGTATAACGTCGAATAAGTGGATATATGCATACGAATCCTCAAATAAGAATGAAGAGCGAGTGAGTGTAGGAAAGGAAAGAAGATAAGACGCGCATACACGCGCGCATCTCTATTTAGGACGCTCTCTCGCTTAGTAAGCACTTGTTTGAGCCATCTACTCGCAAGCTCGCATGCTGGCTCAAACGACACTGTGGTCACACCACAACGTGAAGCTGGAACCTGAGGTCCACTGTTCTGCTCCATTAGCTGAAGTTCCTTCTGTCTCTTGCTCAGTGCTGACTCTCTTGTGAATCATATGATTTGCAACATCGCAATATATCTCGAACCTTTGTCCATCTTAATCTTATAAATGTCCATGGCCGAGGGGTCTTGAAGTCTCCTGGTCTGTGCGTCTGCCTCGGCCTCAAGCCATGATGCTACTGAATCTGCCAGAGTGTTCAATGTGAGTGTGCCAAACACTTTCCTGCTTTCATCCACACCTGCTCTAGCCTCTTTATATTTTTGGGTCAATGATTTTCTCATCTGGATTATCTTCATGAAGTTGGAATCGTTCATCTGAAAGTCCAGGCATTCCTTTCAGTGGGGTGATGACATCCCTTGGGCGGATGGTGAAATGAGGTTGAGGGAAGCCCAGAGAGTCTCCATGATCTCTCCATCAATCCTCCTGGCACCTTCAATAAAGTTTGAAGTGTACCTGACATAACAGCTGTCTTGATGGCCATGAACATGCCAGAGCCCAATGCCAGGGATTACCTTCAAAGCAGAGTCCACAGTCAGGTAAGGGCTTTTCTGGACCCACTCACAGAAGTGCCTGTGGTATTGACAGTTTATGTCATGGAAGGTGAGCGCTCAGGTCAGGTCATGCATGTTGTGCTTCAAGGCCTTGCAGAGGTGTTAAGGTTGTGCTCAAGGGAAAGACAACTCAAAGGGCTTCGGCTTCAGCTCGTGCGCTGCACCCCTTACCCGAGTACATGCCCTTAATTTCTGAGGGGCAGAGGGGAAGTCCAACGGAAGTCCAGGAAGTCTGGAGGTCAGATGTAGGGGGAGTTCGGTGAAACTCCAGAAGGATAGGAATGGTAGAGCAAGGCTACTACGGACAAGTCCGGAGTAGAAGTGGAACAGAGTTAAACTACCCTAAGGTAGAGCCGGAGATTTAGCCCTAAGGTTTTAACCCTAAGACTTGGAGGTAGACAAGAGATTAGACTCAAGTCCAGAGAAGCAGGAATGAGCAGAACTAAGATGATATTCGAACTAAGGAGTACCGGAGTATTACAGGGGTTTATATACTGTAGGTATCATGTAAGTAAATTAGTCAGTAAAGTAGAAAATATGTACAAAGCATGTGGAAAGTCTATTAGTAAGTGCATAACGGATCAAAGCAGTGAAGTCGGAGATGAAGTACAAATGGATGGATCAGTAAGCAAAGCAGAAAGGACATAACCAGTAGCCAGAGAAATAGTTATTCTAAAAGGAGATAGGGGTGAGCCTGGAGATGAAAGCGGAGTGCCGGATGGAGAATAGGATGAGAGAAGCGGACTTTCATAGGGGAGATCTGGAATTCTGGATCTGAAGGTACGGGATATGACAAGAGGGAATAGTCCATGTTCATTTGTCTGCATCTGTTAAGGTCATGCTTAAGGGAAAGGTAACTCAAAGGGCTTGGCATCAGCTCGTGCGCTGCACCCCTTACCCAAGTATGTGCCCTTAATTTCCAAGAGGCAGAGGGGAAGTCTGACAGAAGTCCAGGTAAGTCCGGAGGTCAGACACAGGGGGAGTTCAGCAGAACTCTGGAAGGCTAGGGGCGAATAGAGTAAGACTACTTCGGACAAGTCCAGAGTAGAAACGGAACAGAGGTAGACTACCCTAAGGTAGAGCCAGAGATATAGTCTTAAGGATTAACCCTAAGACTCAGAGGTGGACAGGAGATCAGACTCAAGTCTGGAGATGAAAGCGGAGCGCTGGATGGAGAATAGGATGGAGAACTGGACTTTCATAAAGGAGCATCCGGAATTCCAGGTCCGGAGGTACAGGATATGACAGCATTGAAGTCAACCATTGTGGAAGAAGAGATCGATGCACTGTGTGCACTCACCGCTCTCCCTTCTGAAAATCTATAATTGAGTGAGGGATGAAGCATCCATGTCTTGCACATGCACAGCCACCAATCCTAGTAGCCTCAAGCCTATGCCAAGATGCATTGGCCTGATTGACGGCTCAGTGATTGTTGCACAGCGATTTCTCCGAGGTGTCTTTAGCTCCTTCGAGGTGACTCCTATACCTTGCATTGCTGACCATGAATCCTATGCCATCAGTCAGCCACACTTCATCTTCTGGATTCTTCTGGTGGAGATGTTCTGCTTTGAAATTTCCATCCATGACATACAATTGGGTGTATTTCAATATTTGAGCACAATCAGATGATGTTCTGTACAGAGCTGGCATGCAAAACTCACTGATCAAGGTTCTCTTTGGGACCAGATGGAATGTTGATTCCTGGCTGCGGACATGCCAGGCAAAACAATGTGAGCTCGCCAGGCTTCGGTGGTTCTGGGTCATGACCAAAGCCATTCCACTTGTACGCCTTCAGCTGCCTCTACTGGTGAGCCACTCTCATGAGCTCTCTGTATCAATTCACGGCACGCATGAAAGTGATGAAGGCAAGGCACCAGCACAAGGTATGGAAATGCACTCGAGGTCGTGCGTCGAAGCTTGCTGTAGTATTTCATCGCCAATGTTCCACATTCCAGATTATCGAGCAAAAAGTCATCGAGAATGGCAAAGGTAAAGACAGTCTTTAGTTTGTTGAAAGATGCTGAAAAGAGTCCCGCTCAAAAGAGCTGTATGTTGGGCGTCTTGGCTGTGGGACACCCACAACACTGAATCTGGAGTTGATGGACTCCTGGCTTTTCCATGACAAGCATCTCTGAACCTGTGAGCTTGTATCTAGGACCTGATGCAGAAGGAGTGTCATCTGGATCAATCTCATCTTCTGATTCATCACCATCAAAAATATCTAAGGGATGATTGGCAGATGGACATCCCATTGCATCATGACCCAGGTGAACGATGAGCCTTGCATTGGCCAGACAACTCTGTTGGAAAAATGTTCCTGTCCATTGCCTGATGCAGTGGAAGGGGGCGAGTTCATGCTTCTCTCTACAGCATTTAGTACAAAAGAATGGTTGCCCGAAACAATCCTGGCACTTGTACACCCCATCAAGCCCGCAAATCAAGCAAGTCCTGTCCACTGGCGGAGCTTCTCTGTCAAGCAGGTTATGCAAATAAGCCTCTCGTTTGAGGAGCCATTGCCTGAGATGGTCATTCTGACTCTAGTGATATTACTGTTGTCAGCCATCTGTTACGCCGAAGTATAATGCAGGCAAACAATAACTAATAAGACCAAAGGTCTGTCGATACGTTCTAGATAACTGTCTAAAGAACGTCCAAGTTTCAAGTAAAGACTAAGTACCGAAGAGGTAACTTAGAATCAAGTCAGATGTTTCAGAGGAAAACCAGTGTAGGTTAAGCTGAAGAATCAGCGTCACCTAGCCAGGGTTTATATAGTATACATGGTACAGGGTGTTACGTAATAATAGGTATGTATCAGTAAGCACATGCGTAAGCAATGAGGCGTCTGAGTAATACCGAACTAAATATAGCATGATAAGAGACATGCGTAGTAAGCGTGGATCAAAGGAAAAAGAAGTAAGATAAGCACAGCCATAACATCACCCCCTTCTTACGTGGAAAGTCCCAGACTTTCACTCAAGACCATGATGCCAATCGTCCTCAGTTCCTCCGAGCCCGTCTAGGGCCTCAAAGAAACCCCTTTCCTCCATAAGGATCAATGTCAATTGTTGAAGCTTCTTTTTGATGTCTTGGATACTATAGTCGAGAGAGAAGAGTTCTTCTTCTCTGTACTCAGCATTATGCCTTTCCAAGGTATTTTCGAGACGATCTCCAAGACAATAGAGGTCATAGAGGGCATTGAGCGCAGGCTCGGTGTCAATAGCGTCTTTGATGGGGTTCTTGAATAGTTTGGACGACAACATAATCCTACGGCAAAGTCTACGATCTTCAAGATCGGACAGGTAGGGGTCAGTTGCTACTCTCCAAGGAGCTGCTCGTCTATGAGCTGCAACATGCTCACAGGTTCTGATAGTAGTGGGGCTGGCGGGAGTATCGATGAACGTAGGGATGACAGGTTCATTGAAAATATGATATGGGGACGGTATGCTGGGTTCTGGCGTGGGAGATGTCAGATGAGGGGGTTCGGGAGAATTCCTTTGACTGATAGTCATATAGTGAGGATAGGGAGAGAACACAGGAAATCTGAGGTTTGGGATAGGAACATTTGGAGCGCTGTTGTGCGTGATGATGAGGTTTATATCTTCGTCACTGGAGGAGATGTAGTTACGTCCACCAGTAGAGGGCATGGTCTGAATGGTTTAGTGATGATGGTTTGAGTTGAAAGAGGAATGAGTTGATGTGCCTGCTTATATCTGTTCAAGATTTCAGCAGAGTTGGCTAAATCAGACTCCGACAACCATTCATTATCGGCCGATGGGTAACCCTTCCATTTGACAAGGAAGCGTCGTCATGAGAGAGTTCCTTTATGTCTGAGGATGGCTTCTACCTCATGTTCTTCTTCTCCGTCAATTAGATCAGGAGGTGGCGATGGGAAGTTAGGGCCAGTGTTCTTCATTTTCGCGATATGGAGTAAGAAGTGCTGCATGGAATACCGGGTGAACATGCCATTGGTTTGGGAGTTTTAGGCGGTATGTGACTGGTCCGAGAACTTCCGAAATAGTGAAGGGTCCTTCTCTTTTGGGTGCTAATTTCCTATTGGGGTAATTGAGATGGAGGTTCTTTGCTTCTAGCCAAACTTTGTCGCCTTTCTTGAAGGGTGTGAATGATCGAGTGATTCTTTGCCTTATGGTTTGTCTGGCGAGTTCATGTGATGATAAGGCTTCTTCTCTAGCCTTCTGGAGTTCTTGTATTCTTGCTTTGACGGCTGGGAGATCCGATTTCTCGGTAGCCAATGGTAATGCTTGAGGGTGATATCCCATCATGAGATAGAAGGGCGAAGCATTACGTGCGGAATGATGTCGGAAATTGTGTACAAATTCCGCCATAGGGAGTTTTTCTGACCATGAGGTTTGGTCGTTTGCACAGAAGATGCGGGGATACACTTCTAGTTCTTGATTTACTCGTTCAGTTTCTCCATCTGTTTGAGGGTGGAAAGCGGTGGAAAGGGCGATTTTGTATCCTAGAAGTCTTCCTAGTTGCTGCGCGAACTTTGCTGCGAACTGAGGTCCTCTATCTGAGATGATTTTGTCATAGAGGCCAAATTGTGTATAGACACGATTGAAGAATACATCGGCAACTCCTTCTGCATCGATTGTCTTGTTGCAAGGCAGTGAGCACCACCCCCTTCATAAGCCCATGGTCTACCACGACCATGATAGAATCGAAACCATTGGATGGAGGTAGGTCGACAATGAGATCAACTGAGCATTGAGCAAAAGGGTGGGATGAAGTGGGGGCGGGAATAG